AAAGCGACAAAGAGAACATGATGACAACAAAAAGAAAACCAATGACCCAGAAAAGAATTAATTAAAAAAAAATTTTAAAAAGAAAAACCTGTGAATAGATCAATGTCTGATTTTTACCTCTAGGCATGTCCTCCAGTCAAGTCTGATGGTGTGCCATGCTCTGGCCCCAAAGTCCTTTGCACTCCCTCGGGAGCTCCCTGCTCTGCTCTCCCCTTGCTCTGCCGCATGTCTTTAGTGTTTTGCCTCAGTGTCTCAGGGTCAGACTGGGCCAGTCCCGACACTGAGTCCCCAGTGTTGTCCCCTGTAGGGCCATGGGTCAGTGAGGGATGTCCTGTCTCATAGTGGGATCAGCCATATGGTCCATTCTGTGTATTGACTGTTCAGAGTGGGGATATCGTCCTCCACGTCTGGTGGGCCAGGATGTGCTCCACTCTCTTCCTTCCCATTCATTTCCTCCCATGTGCTCTGATCAGACATGTCCCTCTCCCTGAGCTGCAGCTTCAGTTCAGTCTTCTAAAGTAAATTCTTCTGGGGGGAGGGACAGTTGTCCACGTAGCTGGGATTTGGGCCGAGCCCTCAGGCTCCTCCAGTGGCTCCTTGCTGCATTCACATCCCAGAACACTGAATTTAAGTCTGGTCCCTCTTTGCTTGTGGAGACACAAACAATACCTTCCCCTTGGCTGGGTCAGTGCCCTATTCCCCCATCACACATCTCCTTTTTTTTTTTACTCCCCCCACCCCTTCCATTTTAGTTGGCTACCATATGCACTCCTGGATTTGGTCTGGCCCCTGCTGTACTACCTGGACCTCATCCCTGGACTGTTTGTATACAGTAGCTTTTTCCCTGTATCCCATCTGCATTTTTCTTTTCTTTTTTATAAACTTAACTTAGCGGACTCATGTACTTGTCCTTTTGTGCTTGGCTTACTTCACTTGGCATAATTTCCAGTTCTTCCCATGTGGCAATGTGCTTCATGCGTTCATCACTGCTTTTTAGCGATGCATAGTACTCCATTGTATGTGTGTACCATAGTTTTTTAACCCATTCGTCTGTTGATGGAAATTTGGGTTGTTTCCAACTCCTTGCGATTGTGAACTGTGCCGCGATGAATCTTTTTTTTTTTTTTACTCATTTCTTTTTATATTCTTTTGATGCTTCCTGCATCATTCAGTATTGTGCCCATACACTCTTTCAGATTGTAACTCGAGGTTTTAGTATTTTGTTGAGTCTTTCAGTTTCAGATTTGCTGAGTGTGTTCTTCCCTTCTGCTTTTCTAGTTCTAGGTCCTTGCACATTTCTTTATAAATTTGGCTTTGTTTTCTAGAGCTGCCCTATGAAACTTTCTATTCAGCTCTGTGTCTTCATTATTCCATTTGCTTTAGCTACTCTATGATTAAGAGCAAGTTTCAGAGTCTCTTCTGACATCCGAAAGTGCATCAAGCCTTATATCATTAATGTTCAATATGTCAAATCTGCTTTGCAGATGTTCTTAAAATACAGGTGGGATAGACTTACGGTCGAATTTTGGCTCTTGTGGACTTGTTTTAATTTTCTTCAGCTCTATCCTGAACTTGGATACATATGGGCAATTGATGGCCTGTCCCACAATCAGCCCCTGGTCTGGTTTTAGCTGTTGATATTGAGCTTCTCTATCATGCCATCCCACCGATGAAGTATATTTGATTTCTGTGTATTCCATTTGGAGAAGTCCATGTGTATAGTCACCTTTTGAGTGGGTGCATGGACACTCTCTTTCTGGAATTTGGGGCATGGGAAGAATGGTGGGTGGATGTGCAAATGGTTTTGCTGCTGTCTCTTTTTTTAAATCATTTTATTCAGGGCTCATACAACTCATCACAATCCATACATACATCAATTGTGTAAAGCACATTTGTACATTCGTTGCCCTCATTGTTCTCAAAACATTTGCTCTCCAGCTGCTGTCACTTTTATGCTAAGTATAAGTGGTTGGTTGGTTTGTATGCAGTTACATACATGCCTGTTGCCCTTTGCCAGACTGGGTGGGTAAAGAAGGAGGAGTTGTGGGAAGAGAGAGGAAGCAGTTGCCATGAAACTAAGTGAGACATGCAAAAGACATGTGCATATGTGCTTCACTTGGTTGGGTTGGTGAGTAGGAGGGGTGGGACAAGTGGCTGCTGCTATGCTATTAAGGTCTGCCAACATTTGACTGGTGGACAGGGAGGGAGGAGTGGTAGTCAGGGCAGAAGAGGAAGCTAGGGCTCATACCTTGGTCCTTGGTGGCCAGTACTGCAGGGAAGGGAGGTTTTGCCATTATCAGGAGGGTGAGGGAGAGTAAAATAAGTCAGGGACTTATTTTGGTACATCTGTATGGTTATTCTGTGTCCCATTGGAATTCTGTGATGTTGTCTTCTGTATTCCTCACCCAGGATGCTACTGCCTTTGTCTCAAGTAGGAGGCCACTTGACAGAACTCTGTTATATTTTCTTGGGTATAGTTTTCAGTCAGTTTCATTGCCCAATCGGTGTTTAATCTAGTTTTTTATTTGATTTCATGCTCAGGGTATCTGGATTGTTTTTGTACCTGTTTCACTTAGTTTCTTGGTTCTCTGTTGTAGAGGGATGGTGTGGTAGCAGATGTACTCGTTTTATTGCTTTACTCAAGTCTCAAATTTTAGGTAGACAAAAACCAATTGATTAGCTTAGGTCACATGCATACCACTGAGCTAGGGAAGACAAAACAACACACACACACACACACACACACACACAAACCCCATTTGTGAACAATTCCAAATTCTTGTGATTCCTAGAATAGAAATGGCCCATAGGACTTCCAAGCCTATAAATCTTTTTCTCCATAGAGTACCTGGTGGGTTTGAACTGCTGACTTTTGGTTAACAACCAGATACTTTAACCATGATGCTACTAGGGCCCCATTCCAGGGTAAGGCAGTGAGGCGCTTGATGAGTATAATGTACCTGATTAAAACATTGGTAGTTAAGATCTAAAAGTTAGTAGTAATTTTTTTTCAATTTTGCCACTTCATAGTTTTCATATTTCAGAAATGAGGGGGTACTTTCTCCCTTTATTACTATATTTCATATGATATTACTGTAAAGTTTTGAAAACAGTATTATAAAATTGATAAGTGTGCTAAGATGATTACAATTGCCACTGAATTTCTTTGTAAGACCATATATGAAGTTCTGGGCGTGTATGTGGGGGGGGGGATTTGAAGATTCAGTTCAAACTTAAAGTGATACTTAAAACTACAAAGTTTAAAGAACAATAACTTATAAGCTAACAATGTATATGTTCAGCTGACAATAGGTGCTTTAAAAAGGTATGATTTGATCTTACCAGAGTTGGTAGGCTTATTGAGAATCATTGTAATGGCCTTTTAAGTTCGAAAAACAGTTACTTTTACATCTTGGCGTATAAGTTACTCTACATCAATTCTTACTTTTGTTACTTGTAGGTTGCCAACATAAAGCTCAGCCATGGCAGGGAGCAGAGGAATATGTGAAATCTAGAGTGTGGTAAAGCAAAGGAATACTTAAAATATATGTGTGTGAAGTAAACTTTAGTAGTAATATTTTCTGAAGTTTTTAGAGATAGGCGAATACTCTTTAACACTGGAAAAATACTATATTGTCTGCAGTAATGAAATTAATGCTGATGAGAAGGGTGATTGGAGGGAGGCAATCTAAGGACTCTGGTTTTATTAATCATGTGTGTTAAATATGTGGGTAACACATGTACTATAATCTTTTAAATTTTATTTTTGTTGAGAATTAGCAGAAGAACACACATCAGTTCAGCAATTTCTACATTTACAAATCATAACATTGATTACGTTCTTCAGTATGTACAACCATTCTCTTTCGCTGTTTTTGCTGCAGTCTTTACATGTACAGGTCAGTGACATTTCATATGTTCATCATGTTGTCCAACCAGAACTATTCCTGGAGTTTTCCATTACCCTGAACAGACGCTCAGTGTCCCCTAAAAGTTGTTTTCCTTTCCCCCTCATTCCCTCACCCGCATCCCTAATAAAACGCCAATAAACTTTGATCTCTACACACTCACTTGTAGATATTTTATGTAAAGGGTATAATACAATACTGTATATGTTCTTTGTTACTGACTTCACTGGGCTTAATGGTTTCAAAGAAGAGCCCTGGTGATGTTGTACATTATATGTTGGACTGCTAACTGCAAGGTCAAGTTTGGAATCACCAGCTTCTTTGAGGAAGAAATATGAGGCTTTCTACTTCTCTAAAGATTCACAGTGTCAGAAACATAAAGGATAGTTAAGAATTGAGTTGGTGGCAATGAGTTTGGTTTTGAATTAGAATATTTTCAAATTTTAATCATCATAGCAAAGTTCCTTATACTGGGAAACCTGTGAGAGCCAGGACTGCCTTGTTTTCTGAGCCTTGAGAGTTTTCTTCTGTTGGTAGAGTACAATCATTACTTTCCTATCACACATTTATTGGAAAATATTAGCGTTTTCCCTCTGGCAGGTTTTTACATTACACAAGTTTGGATTTTTACAGGTTTTACTGTTTATCATTTGCTGTGGTGGACTAATGTATTAAGAACAGGCTTTTACTAGACAATAATTGCTCATGGTATATCACTTATCATATAATGTGTCTATATCAATTTAATAATGAATGGTTGTTTAGTAGAAAAGCTGGTGGTGCAGTAGGCTGTGTTGAGCTGCTAACTGAATAGCAAGAGGTTCAAACATCCCTCTCTCTGGGAGTAAAATGAGGCAGTTTGCTTCCATAAAGATTACATTCTTGGAAACTCTGTACTGCTCTGCCCTATAGAGGCAGAATCAACTTGACTGAAGTGAGTTTGCGGTTTTGAGTTGGTTGTATAATGGGGTTCTATTGCTTTTTGATCATTGCTTTTTATTGCTTGCTATACTTGCTGCTTTTAACATGTCAGAATGATATATAAAAAAAACTCAACTTTTAAAAGTATGCCTACTTTTCTTTTTTCCCTAGGAAGAGTCACCTTATCCTAACTACAATTCTAACTATTGGAATTCTTCTGCCCGGGCTAGAGCTCCTTACCCAAGTACATATCCTGTAAGACCAGACATACAAGGCCAGGTATGGTCTAATGACAGAGACGCTCACTTTCTGAAGTTATTCTTGAAGAAGCTATTTATTTTCATAACCTGTGAAGATTTTATAGAAGTGATGTGTAGCTTGTTAATATTTTAATGGACTGTCAAATACATCTTAATGCTTTCATTGGGATGACAAGAACATATTACCTATAGAAAGATAGCTGAAGGCATAACGGACTGTTCTCAGGACCTGGGAACACAAGACATAAAACATACTTTTCTTAATTGTGAAATTTCTTATGACAAATACTAATTTTAAATATTTTAGACATTAAAAGAGAATACAGAAAATACAGCTTTTTATCCATGGCTGAACTTTGTGAAAGGAGTCCTAGTAACATATAGTGGGTTACCGTTGGGCTGCTTACAAGTTTTACAGTTTGAACCCACCAGCAGCTCTGCTGACGAAAGATGAGGCTTTCTGCTGCTGTAGAGAGTTACAGCCACGGAAATCCACAGAGACAGTTCTGTTTGGATCTATAGCATAGCTGTAAGTCACCAGAAGTGAGTTTGGGCTTTTTTTGTTTTGCTTTGGTGTAACTTTGGGAATTTCTGTTTGCCCCATCTGTTTCAGATACAATTGAAGTCCCATATGACACTGTCCTCCCATTTTAAAAGTTATATTATTCCTATTCTTGACCTTATACTTTTACTACATATATATTCATCTATAACTTTATATGAAGGAGTTTCAATAAGTTTATGGAAGAATTCCATGATTTTTTATTTCTCCTAGAATATGTTTTTTTGCTTTCACCCATATCTTACACAATCCAGTATATCCATTCACATGCAAATCTGTACAATCCCATGGAGTGGGGTTATACAGTCATCAAGGTAACAGTTCACCCCAGGGACCCATTACTCCTATTACTGTGTTTGATGGATTATCTATCTTGGCTATGTATTGAACGATCTTAAATATACAAATGAACATATGCAAAGCTAACATGATTTTTTAAAAATCATTTTATTAGGGGCTCATACAACTCTTATCACAATCCATACATACATCAATTGTGTAAAGCGCATTTGTATATTCATTGC